GAGTCCAGCGACATAGCCATTATGCTAACTGCTGGTCCCTCTTCAAAGTTTCTGAGAGAGGCCCACTAGAATTTGGGTCCCAGCCTCACAGGTTGAACCTGAGAATGTTCAACACCATCCACTTCCTAACCAGGGGCAATTACCTAAACGGTTCCTCCCCCGTGCCATTACCACCTCTGTCTTGTGCCTAATGTTGGCATTTTACCTAAAATCAACAAGAGTGCATGGATTTTTATGACAAGCAATTTTTTTGAATTTCCAGAGAGACCATGTGTTTGCCAGAGAGGGAGAAAAAGGGAAAAAGCTCTCCCCAATGGGGCATATATGGTCATGCCACAATCCATTCTCTTCCATTTCTCCATTCTGTCAGGGTTTTGGGCACACAAACACATGCCTGGCATGATTTTGAAGCTGTTGGGCCCAGGATTTGAACTCTGATGGACCATGAGATCCAGCTCCCTTAACCATTAGGCTATAGGACCAGCCCAATTTTATACACACACACACCAGATAATGTAACATGTCAATATGCAACACCTTTAAAGCAAATCAAAATATTATTTCTCATGTGGAACTTGTGACTCTGAACAGACTTGACCCTTGGATTCCAAAGGCCAATGTCTCTTATGGGGAATTCTTTCTTTCTTTCTTCCTTTCTTTCTTGTTTTTAGTTTGCTATAGGGTATGTACATTCACCAGGGAGAAAGAGAGAAAGTGAGAAATCACCTTTAACGGGGGGATGGCCAGACTCCAATCCCTTCCCCATTCCATTCTCCTCTCAGAACTTGGCCACACACACGCATGGATTCGGTACTCGAACCACGCAGATGGCCGTGTGGGGTCCAGCTGCCTTAACCTCCTTGGCACCTGCTGACCTCATTTAAAAGACTTGTTAGCTACATTGGGAAATTTGTTTTCACGGAGGCCAAGGGGGCAGGAGCATGAGCGTGGAGAGAAGATTTCTTATTTACAATGTCAGCTCTCCATGGTTTACACTCCTTTAGACCCAGATTCTGCCCAGATAGTGTAGAGATGAGTTGTTAAAAAGGAATAAAGGAAAAACAGTGGGGAAATGAAGAAATAAAAGGGAAGCAAAAGGAATCAAATAGATAGAACCAATAATATATAAAACAGGGCCTATGAGAGACTAAAAAGATAATAGATTAGAATGGTTAGAGCTAATATTTCCCAATCGAACTTTAAGATTTTAAAAATGAGTATGTTGGAAGACAATTTTCAAGTATCTAATACAATTGAAAATACTCATATCTTTTGATCAAGAAAGTATATATAATTTATTCTGTAACAGTTACATAAGAATATAAAGACAAGTGTGTAAAGATAGCCAAAGCAGCACTGTATTTAAAGATGAACAATTAGACAAAACCTAAATCCTTTGGCAAATATTGGGCACCAACTGCAACTCCTTGCTCAGCCTAACATCTTTGCCTGTGCCCTGGTTCCCAACACTTTCTACATGTTCAAGGACTTTGCTTTTGCTGTCATCTCCTCAAACATCATTTTCCCCCTCTCGCAATTGGACCATTTCTATTAGCATAAACATGATTCTGTCATTGTCACTTAAAAACAATCAGGGCTGGCTCCTAGCACAGCAGTTACGCCCTGTGCAGGAGGTCTGGATCCACATGGCCCACTGGGTTTGAGTCCCAGCCTCACAGGTGGAAAAACATACTGGGCGTGTGTACGAGTGTGCCCCAAATCCTGACAGGATAGAGGAAAGGACTATGGTATAATCAAACCTGGGGTGGGGGTAGGATTGTGCTTTCTCTCTTTCTCTAGCAAGCACACATGCCCTTTGGTAATTAAAGTCAGCACACAAACAAAAGAAAGAAGCTCTTCTTTGACTTAGTCCTCTTCCAATTACTCCATCTCTCAGATTAGCTTTAGAGAAAACTTCTGGGACCAGCAGTTGGCGTAATAGCTATGTTACTGGACTCTCATGTAGTCGACCGCGGTTTGAGTCCCAGACCTGGTGGCTTAAAACTCACACAGAGCGCACGTGCATGTGTGCCCAAGATCCCGAGAGAAGAAGGGAGGAGAAGGGATTGCCACATGGCCATCCCCCCTGGAGGGGTGATTTCTTGCTTTCTGTCTCTCTGTGTCTCTCTGTCTTTCTGGCTAGTACATGCGCCCTATATCAAAAACCTTTAAAAAATAAAAAAAGAGAGAGAGAAAACTCCTTTAAAGTATTTTCTCTCCCAGTTGTTTGTCTTTCCTCATCTCCTACTCTTTCTTTAACATTGAACTCAAGTTTTTATCCCCATCATCCTCTGGAACCAGCCTGTCAAGGCCAGCAATGACCCGTGTCTTGCCAAATCCTATACGCAATGCTTAGTCTTCATCTTCCTTTCCTGTCGATAGTGTTCAACAAAATAGACCTGACCTTTATGAGGGACACTCCTGTTATTTCTAGACTGCTCCTTTTTCACTATGTTTAAGCTCTTTCCTCCTCTAAATGTTGACAGCCCTAAGGTTTTAACCTATGCTTGTTCTTCCACAATGACCTCATCTAGTTCTACGGCTTTAAATACCATCCATATTTTGGTGACTACAAATTTATATCTCTAACCCTGACAATCCTCTCACCTTCCCTGGAAAAAAGCTCAATCACCTACTTAACATTTGGATGTCTAGTAGACCTTTTTTTTTTTTTTTTTTTTTGGAGAGAGATTTCTGCTGTAGGGCATGTGGCTCATTAGAGAAACAGAGAAAATGAGAAACATCCTCCCTGCCAGGGTGGATGGTCACACTGCAATCCCTTCTCCATTCTCTTGGGATTGGGGACACTCACACACATGTGCCCAGCGTGAGTTTCAAGCCACTGGGTCTGGGACTCAAACCACGGTCAGCCATGTGGGAGTCCAGTGCCATAACCACTATACCACCTGCTGGCCAGTTTTAACATACCCAAGTCAGACTTCATGTTCTCCACTTCTTTAATTAAAAAAATTTTTTTTCTAGAGATTTTTGCCTTAGAGTATGTGAGCTCACCAGAGAGAGGGCGAGACAGTGAGAGGGAAACTGAGAAATCACCCCTCAGGTGGGAGGATGGCCATGCCACAATCCCTTCTCCTCCATTCTCCTCTTGAGATCTTGAGCACACATGCACCCATGCCCTGTGTGATTTTGAAGCCAATGGATTGGGGACTCAAACCACAGTTGGCCACGTGGGAGTCCAGCCATATAACTGCTACACCATCTGCTGATCCCCTCCACTTCTTTCACTCAAAAAACCTGAGTTTTCCCCAGTCTCTCCCAAAGCAGCTAAGATCACTCCCAATCCTTAGGCTCTTGACCTAAGCTGAAAGTTGTTCCTTTTCCTCTTCCTCACTGTCACCCTTCTCCCCTGTTCAGTCCATCAGCGTATCCCATTAGCTCTGCATCCAGCATGGATCCTGAGCCTGAGCACTCCTCATATCCCTGGAGCCTCAAGGAATCAGAGCCTTTCTCAGAAACAGATTCCTATCTGGTCTTCTGCTTCTATGTTGCTCCCGAGCAGACTGCAGCCAGGATGATCTTGTACAGTTATGAAGTCCATACCACAGTGCTGCTTAAAACACATCAGGGCTTTCTGTCACACCTGGAATAAATTGCCACCCCCTTACCACGGGTCCTGCAGCAATGACACAGAGCTCAGCCTGGACTGTCCTTGAGACTCTCCTGGGGAGCTTCGAAAGTGCTCGATGCCTGAGCCCTACGCCTGGAAATTCTGACTGGGACAGTGTCTAGGGCATTAGCGTTTTCTAAGAAATTTTTCAGAGGGGGACCAGCAGATGGCATAATGGTTATATTGCTGGATTCCCACATAGTCAACTACAGTTCAAGTCCCAGACCTGGCAGGTTAAAACTCATACTGGGCACGTGTGTATGCACGCCCAAAATCCTGAGAGGAGAATGGAGGAAAAGGGATTGCAACGTGGCCATCCCCCCAGGGGATGATTTCTCGATTTCTGTTTCTCTGGCAAGCATACGTACCCTATAGCAAAAATATCTCTCTCTCTAAAAAAAAAAAAAAATATTATCAGCAGGCATGTGTGTGTGTGCACACATGAGATAGCTAGAGTGTGCCATTGCTCCCCATGTGGGATGGTCAGGATGCAGTCTCTTCTCCATTTCTTCCTCCTGTTGGGACTTTGGTAACACAAACACACATACCCAGTGTATTTCTCAAGCTTCTGGTTCCAAGAATTGAACAGTGCTGCAGGTTACATGGAATCCAACTTCTTTAACAGTAGGTCATAAACTGGCCCGGCATCAGCATTTTAAAGTATGTTCTGGAGCCAGACTGTGTTGCAACAGTAAAATGCTATGCTCTTTGCAGAAATTCCACATGGAAACGTTCTCTCTTCATCCAGATTCCCTAATTATTAATAACTGACTGCATTTTCCTTATCACTCTCTCTCTCCACACACACATACACACACACTCTTTTTTTTTCTTTTCATGCCATTTGAGAATAAGTTACAGACATGATGAACTACCACTCCTTACCACTTGCAGGTGAATTTATATTTTTTTCCTTTCAGTTTTTCAATTAATTTAATGGTAAGACAAAAATCTGCAAACGAGCACTGACTACTTTCAAAACTTATTATACCATCTATAATGCCTTTTTCTTCTCACTGAAAACTAGCATCATACCATTTTGTGATCACACAAAGTGATTCTACATTAAAAATAGTAAGTCAGACCTGCTTTGTCATCAGCATTGATAAAAGCAGACCTAGGGGGACCAGCAGTTAGTGTAATGGCTATGTTGCTGGACTCCCACATAGTTGACAGCAGTTCAAGTCCTGGACCCGGTAGCTTAAACTCATGCCGGGCGTGTGTGCGTGCGTGCCCAAGTTCCAGAGAGGAGAATGGAGGAGAAGGGATTGCGGCGTGGCCATCCCCCCTGGGGGGTGATTTCTCGCTTTCTGTCTCTCTGTCTCTCTCTGTCTGGCGAGCGCACGTGCCCTATAGCAAAAACCTCTCCAAAAAAAATAAAAAAAAATAAAAAACAGACCTAGAAAAAGAACTAGGTCTGAGGACACAGGCATGGTCTTAATATAGTGAATGTGTAGCCTGTCCTGCGTATTACAGAATCAGAGCAGCAAGAATATTCACAGCCAGGTGAATTTCTTTTTTAAAAAAGGACTTACTTATTAATTTTATTTATTCATTCATTTATTTTCATTTGGCCAGAGAAAGCAAGAGAATGAGAAAGTGAGAGATCAAGCCACCAGGTTCAGGACTTGAACCATGGTTGGCCATGTGAGAGTATCTGGTGCCTTAACCACCATACCACCTGCTGGTCTCTCAGGTGAATTTCTTCTTTTTTTTTTTTTTGGAGAGGTTTTCACTATAGGGCGCGTGCACTCGCCAGACAGACAGAGAGAGACATAGAGACAGAAAGCGAGAAATCACCCCCCAGGGGAGATGGTCACACTGCAATCCCTTCTCCTCCATTCTCCTCCTGGGATCTTGGGCACGCACGCACACGCACCCAGCGTGAGTTTTAAGCCACCGGGTCTGGGACACGAACTGTGGTCGACTACGTGGGAGTCTAGCGACATAGCCATTACACTAACTGCTGGTTCCCAGGTGAATTTCTTAAAAGCAAAGACCTCCTTCTGTCAATATACAGCCATAGTGCCACCATAAAAATCAGCAAATGAATAATTTAATATTTCTGCCTCATTGACCAACCCCATTCAAATTCCGATCATTGTACCTCCTAACTCATGTTACACATCCAGGATCCAGTCCAGAGCCACATGTTGGGTTTAGTTATGTTATATCTCTTTAGTTTCCTTCAATCAGTAACAATTTCTCAGACTTCTCTTGTCCTTTCTTAATCTGTCATTTTTAAGAATACAGCTAATCGTCCTTTAATTACCCCCAATTTTGGATAGTCTGATATTTCTTCAATATTTATGCAATTTTTTTACAAGGAATACTATGGAATTAATGTTATATTTTTTGCTTGCATCACATCAGGGGGGCAAGATTTGGCTCATTATTGATGATGTTAACATTTATCACTTGGTTAATGTGATGCTTGCCAAGTTTCTCCATTAATTAACGTTAATTAATGAGTACTTCATGCTCACTGAACAATAAATAATTAATGAGTGCATCGTAGCAATGTAAGTTAAGACTTTCACTATAAGGTAGACTTTTCTTTCTGCTCCATTTGTTCACTCACTTGTTTATATCACTCTGTGTTCCTGTATTCCTGTTTTACTCTGAGTTTCCACCTGTAACTGCTTTTATTACACATAGTTAAATATTAGTCCGAATTCTTTCAGTTTTGGCCAGCGGGAGCCCTTTCAAGCTGACTCCTGTGTCTTTTTAACTTGTCCCCTTCATTCTTTTTTTTTTTTTTTTTTTTTTTTTTTGAGAGATTTTCACTGTAGGGCGCGTGCGCTCGCCAGACAGACAGAGAGAGACATAGAGACAGAAAGCGAGAAATCACCCCCCAGGGGGGATGGTCACGCCGCAATCCCTTCTCCTCCATTCTCCTCTCGGGATCTTGGGCACGCACGCACACGCGCCCGGCGTGAGTTTTAAGCCACCGGGTCC